GATTCTGAAATATTACAGAATATGATGAGGCTCACGTTCCAGCTCCAGTGCTTACTGTAACACAAAACCCACTGCGTGTTCCCACTGGACTCTCAGCTCTCCTCAGTTCATCTGATACAACAAGGTAATTTGCCATCCCCCAGTGCTCATATTGATGCTCAGACCAATGTCAATACTCATATTTTATGGCAAAAATAAGCATAGTCATTGTCCTCTGACTCTGCCGTGACCCTCATGCAAAATAATGCTGAGGCAAAAGGCATAACACAAGCCATTGGTTTTAGCACTGCACTTTCCATCAGGAGGGATTCTGGGAAGAGTCTGGCCCTGACCCTCTGACAGGCTTCTCTTAATGCTAGTGTGTATAAAAACTAAGATCAGTTTCTGCCCCCTTTCTCTTTTGAACCCTTCCATTAATAATCAATGCTAAGTGCTGGGAATCTAGGACTCAGAGCTGTGGGAAAGGGGAGGGATCAGGTGTTGTTCCCATGTGTGTCTGCGCAAGAGTGCATGTGAAGGGATTGAGAGGATCAGGGTGCTTTATACCTATCTAATGGACATCAATATCGAGGAGACAATTATCAGCACACTTACTAGTCTTTAGCCTGACCCCCCTTGTTCGTCTCGTCTAAGCTACAGCATGAGTACAGACTTCTGGAAATGCTGAGTGAGCGCTCCCAGCATCTACAGTAACAGGCCTCTTAAATTTGCTGATTATTCAGAACAGCAGGGGAAACACTTAGAAATCTTATTTTTGAAACATCTTTCTTAAAAGATGCCACCATTTTATAAAGTAAAGTGCTTTACAGTGTCTTTCAGTTCAAAAGAATGACATCTTTAAGAAACATCTGGGGTTTTATTTTGGTTCCAGGCAGGCAGGTGAACACGTCCCAGGTGGATGTCTCCCTGCTGATGAAGTGCATCTGCTGGCCTAGTCTCCAAGTTCCCCAGACACCTGATTTAACAACCTGGTTTTACATCCTCCCTCCAAAACAAAGTCTTGTTGGGTGTAAACTACATAACAGGACAAAACATTCTAGAGATGCTCACATAAGAAGTGATGTAAGTAACTTTCACTGGCAGATGAAAATTTCTGAAGTTGTGGAAGAGCACAATAGACACTTGTACTAGTGCTGGATGGCTGACAACAGCACTCAGTGATAGTGTTTTTTTAAGGCTTCAGTTTCTGTTGATTTACTACCAGGACTATTTTTCTCATTAAGAAGACATTTAGACCATATTTTCAGAGATTCTTTGTTTCCCCATTGCTAAGTAATGTAGTCATTCAAATGTTTAAAGGAATCACGTTTTGTTTCTGGACAATGACAGGATTTTACTGGTTGTTGATGGCAGCATTAGCTGTTGCTGGGGATTTAAACCATGATGGTGTACATAAACTACTGCTTGTCCAAGAGAGAGAGGGAAATATAAACTGACTTTTATACTAATAGGTTGTTTCTTTGCTCAGATATTTAAAGAAAGTCAAGACTGGCTAAAACAAATAGAAGCAGCTGACACCAAGCGAGAGGCGGGGTCCACCTTAAACAGGTCACCATTCACAGGGCGGACACTAAGAGACTGACAAACACTCTCACTCGGACAGGAAATTTAGAGTCACCAGTCAACCTAAGCTGCATGTTTTTGGACTGTGGGAGGAAGACGGAGCACCCAGAGAACCCACGCAGGCAGGGGGAGAACATGCAGACTCCACACAGAAAGGCATCGAGTCAGCTGGGGCTCAAACCCAGAACCTTCTTGCTGTGAAGCAACAGCACTAACCACTGTGTCTACTTTCCAGTAGAATATTTAACAATGGTCAAGGTAAAGTGAGGAGTGAAAAAGAACAGACCATTATGACAAGAGCAGGGCTCACACACTCACCTACTCATTCACACACAGTCACTTCATTTGCAGTTTGCAGCTGTCTTTCATGCCTAATCATCTCTCATTGCAGCACCCACCAGCTGGCTCCACACAGAAATTCACCACGAACGTAGTGTCCCTGTTCGTATGACTGTGACGCAAGCCAGACATTCACTTTAATGAGCAGTGTGAGCACAGATTCATCTGCACTGTTTGTGTTGACATCAGCCTGCAGACACCTGTTAGCTAACATTAACTCCTGGCAGGAACAGACTGAATGAAGCAGAATCGGTCATCTAACCTTGCCGAGTCACATCAATCCCAGCAGCTGCAGCAGGTCCATATAGACTTAACTACTCACACTGGAGGAGAATTGTCTTATACCTAGTTGTTCATCCTGCTTGATTTAAAAATACCAAAGGCATAAATGGAATTAAATACGACTTAAAATGAAGCCAGGTGACCTCAATAATATAAACAGTGTTAATGCCCAACTTTAATGAAAACACCAACTCTGGCTCTTTAAAGTCCCCAAAGGCTTCATGTGAGTACAATAACACACCCACAGCCAAAGTCTGACGCCCAACTCGATGCACCACACAGCATACACAAATCATTTTGTGCTAGAC